CTGTCTCAGCAGCGCGTCTCTCTTGGCCTCTCTTTCTCAGCAGTGTGTCTCTCTCAACTTTCTCTCTCAGCAAGTGTGTCTCTCTCAGCTGGCAGAGAGAATCCTTCTGCCACTAGGAGGGTTTGTTTTGAGCCTGGCAGAGTGGGAAACCTAAGCAATCTGAACATCAGCATTCTATACACCTGAGAGAGAGTGAACTTCCCAGAACATTGCTTTGTGCTGCTCCAACAGAAATATACCAGGTGGATAACTTTAACCATCAGCTATTCAGTTGCTCACTGCAGCAAAGTGAGAGTTACAAAGACTATGGCTAGAAAAGCCATACTATGTAATTTATTACATGGCAGGCCTATGGGACAACTACTGGATTTGACAATATGGAAGTCACTGGAGATTCTGAAGGAGTCTTTGGGTGGCACCGTCAGTTAAGAGATCACCTGCTAGCTGAAAGACTGGAGTCCACCCTGAGGTGCTTTGAAGAAAGGCATGGTGACCTACTTCTGAAAATTCAGCCACTGAAAACCTTACAAGGCACAGCTCTACTCTGACACATATGGAGTCGCCATGAGTTAGTTGCAACTCAAAAGCAACTGGTGTAGTTTGGTAGGAATCAGTCCCTGCGTGGCAATTAAGTACCAGACTACTAACCAGTAAGATGGCACTTTGAACCTACTCAGAGGCCTCAGAAAAGGCCTGGCGATCTGCCTCCAAAGGTCAGAGATTTGAACACTCCACAGAGCACAGTTCTACTCTGGAACACAGAGGATTGCCATGAGCTGGAACTGACTCAACAGTAACCGGTTTGGCTGGGTTCAAGACCCTGACAAAAACAGTTGTGGTACAGAAGACAGAAACCACATGGAAGTGTGGCAAAAAGAGAACAGATATAAGAAGTCACAGAAATGAAGAGAAATGACACTTTCACAACCTTTTGTTGTAAAAGAGATCTGAGAAAATGGCCTGGCAGCTGGAAGGGGTGAGAGGTCAAGGAAGGTAGAAATATTGCAGAACCCAGTCTTCTTGTTACACTTTTAGACTCTAAAAGCGATTTTCTTCAAAGTACTTTTTCTAATCATGTAAATTCTTTGGGAGCAGAATTTCCTGTTTTCTAACTCCTCTCTGTGTCATGGGTCCTCAATGCATATTTGTAGACTGTCAAGAACCTAGGGCTCTTCAGTCCTAGTCCATGAAATTTGGTAAAGTGGAAAGAGCAGAAACAGAATCAGACAGATGCAAGTTTCAATATCTGATTCTTCACTAACAAGCTATGCAACCTTAGACAAATTACTGCTATCTCTCAGAACCTATTTTTTCTTTTCTTTTTGAAAATTTTATTGTAGTTTAGGTAAAAGTATATAGAGTAAATTAGTTTCTCATTCAGCAGTTTATACAGCTTTTGTTTTGTGACATTAGTCACAATCCCCTCAATGGAACAGCATTCTTTCTACTTCCTCCCTGGGTTCCCTATTTCCATTCATCCATCTTTCCTGCCACTTCCTGCCTTCTGAACTGTGTTTTTAAGCAAATATTGTCCTTTTGGTCTTATACGATTGACTGTCATGAGTACATTCCTCATGGATTTTAATGTTCACTTTATAAGCCTGTCTATTGTTTGGCTGGTGTAGTGGATAAGGCATGTGGCTGCTAACCAGAAGGTCAGTTGTTCAAACCCAACAGCTCCTCTGTGGAAGGAAGATCGGGCTATCTACTTCCGCAAAGACTTACAGCCTCAGAAACCCAGGGGGAGTCGCTATGAGTTGGAATCAACTCAATAGCAGGGTGTTAGAGTTTATTGTTTGGCTGAAAGGTGATCTCTGAGAGTGGGCTCAGTTCCAGGTTTGAAGATGGTTTAAGGGCTGTAGTCTCAGGTGGTCCACCAATCTTTATCAGAACAGCCTGGTCTTTTTCTCGTGCTGCTTTCAGGATTCTTTGTCTTTGGTTTTGATGAGTTTGATGATGATGTGTCTTGGTGATTTTCTTTTGGGGTCTATACTGTTTGGGGTTCATTGGACTTCCTGAAT